TATTGATTTCTATGCTTATTTTTCAAATGAATAAAATTTATCTATCCGATAAAAATAAAGAAGAATGCTTAGGTATTATTGCTGTTTATATTGATTTGACGAATGGGAGATATTCATAAACAAACGGTAGAATTACAATACGCTCTCTATCATAAAGTTCAATGAAGCCAATAAACTCCTCAATGTTTGTTTGGGTTTAATTGTCACCAAAATTTTATATTAGGACTTATTTATCAATAAAAGTTATTTTAAGGCACTAACTTACTTATCTTTTGTGGATTTGTCTAACATGTGTTTTAAAAAAGTCCTAAATTTATATTTTATGCATTAATTTACATAAAAAAATAAGAATAAATTAGCATTAATTTTAATATCGATATTACGTGGATATTTTTTTATTAGCAATTGATAAATTAATGTTAGCTTTTATTTTTATTATTATTTATTTTTATTATATGTATTAATAATAAAAATATGCAATAAATACAATTTTATCCTCTTATACCCTTAGAGTGCAAGTTAGAAAAATCATTCTTCTATCTAATAATTAAACTGAATTAAAGGCTATATGGCCGTAATAGCAAACTTTTAGACTTTCATGGTATTTATGTTTCTATTGAAAGTTTATTACAAAATTACTATGGATTTCAAATACTTAGTGTTGATACTGAACATGGAATTGATGACAAAAAGCTAGTTGATAATAACCTTTACACTTTATATTGCTCAACCTCTTTAATTAATAACTATTTATATTGATAAAATTTTGAACTTTCTTATCTTTTGCTTGAAGTGCCATAACTAGAACAGAAACTTGACCAATTTGGATGAAGCCTGAACATGGGTTCCCTTATAGTTACTGGGGAAACGAAATCATGACCCTCTGGCTTATAACAAACAGTATATCTTATGTATACAAGAAATTAATGCAACCCAATTAATTACTAAAGAAAAATTTTGAACAAAGATTACATAGATATATACTTTTAAATGCAAGTGATTTTGAAGGTAATCAAACTTTGACGTGGTAAATTGAGTATGATTGCCAAGTTTTAGAAAGTACATATATGCAAAAAGGTTGCTGGAGGACTTGAAGAGATAATTCTGCCATAATTATTTGACTCGTAACAAGTGAAAATTGCATTTGAAAATCATCTAACACGGTGCATAATGTAACATCTTGACTCTCATATTAGAAAAAAAAGTATGATTACGAGTAGAATATAAATGTCAAAAGTACACATTATTAATAAATTGATATTGAGCTTTTGAGTATTGTATTATTTTAATTTAAAGAGTGAGGTTTTAACCTGAATTATTTTACCTTCCTAAAAACCGATTACCACAAAACCAAAGAGCTAGAAATGTGCTAAGAAAATAGGGGAACAACAAAACAGAGAGGACAAATTAAAGAGCAACGCCAATGAGTGAATGACATTAATCCTAATGAATTTCATTCTATAATAGAAGTTCTAATTCTCATTTTGTAAATGTGAACACAATTATTCACTAATTATATGCTTTAAACAATAATAGTTAGTAATGATTCACCTAATTAATTTCTAACATTACTTGGCATCAGAAACAGCCTTGCTAGATACACCTTAAATATGGCTCTTATGAACCTTCTTTATTTGCAATAGCAATTATCTCTCTCTAATTTTATTTATCAAAATTTTCACTCTTTGTGTACACAATTAACCATTGATAGACACGTAAATAATCAACACACGTAAAGACACGTAAATAATCGAGTCCAATTACTGAGGATCGATGAATTAGAAAAAATTATCTTTCTATTTATTAGATAGCGGACTCTAATTAGCTTATAACTACTTTTTTATAACCTAAAAATATAATTCACCTCTTTTTTAGAAATATAAGAAAAAAAAATGTAAAATTTACAATTCCAGTCAAGATAATTTGCTCTAGATAGACAACTACAGAAATATTGTACATATCTTGACTAGATTTTTTCCTGTTCAAATTACTGTCTTGGGCATTTCTCCTCCTATAAATACAGCCTAAGTTACAAGGAGAAAACCATCCCAGCTTCATATACCATTCATTCTGCTTATTAGGCTTTAATTTCCAAATTTTCCTTTGCTTAATCTGAGTCCAATTTTCCTAGAAATGGGAGTACCAGGAAAGGAGCCAAGCAAGCCATACCATGGGAAAGAAGGGTACTCGTTTTGGCTGAATGTGACAGTGAGGCAGCTGACCAAGGAGGACCTGGAGCATCTGTCGAACTATCTGACAGATCTCCGCAACAGAGCCACTATCAAACTCATTGAGAAGTTGGCTTCTGCTCCTGCTTCGACGCCTCCACCTCCTGCACCAGCAAATATGGATCCTGCCCAGGTGATTAATGCTCCAAATGGAACCAACATGGGTAATGATGTTGGGGGTGCCAGTCCCTCTCCAAATGTTCCAGGGCCAAATTAACTATGGCTTTCTTCCTAGGGCAAATTTGAACCTCTCTATCTTGAGAGTGAATAATGGATGAATAAATGTACCAAAAACATATTGGATGAATAAAATAATTTGCCTGAATTTCCTAGTATTGGAGTAATTGGGTTTGATCCAAAAAATATAAATAATCATGTTATATGTCCTGCATGTTTTCAGTCCTCTAGCTCGTTAGAGCTATTCATGATCATGTGTTGGTTCATGTTGTTTGGAAATTGGAATGAAATTTCCATCAAATATGACAAATTTTAATCTTTTAGCCAATTCCTATTTACAAATTCATTACATAATAGTGACAGGGAGCTCTTGGACAGAGAATTGGTGAATGGATCGGGTCTAATGGAGATTGTAATGAGATGTTTTTCACAGGAAGCGAAGGAGAACCAGAGGAGGAGGTGGGTTTTGGCTTTTGGGTTTGAAGGGTTGTGCGCCTTAGAAATCTAATGATTTTTTTTTCTTTAATTTGGACGATTATGATTTTTTTGGGATAGATTTAATTTATCTCAAGACTAATTTTTATCTAATTATTTTAAGAATGCACTTTACTTAAATCTATTCATTTAAAAAAATTAATTTCATTTAGTGTTGTAAGGACCTAATCATCTAATTAATGAAAATAATTACATTCTGGAGAAGAAAATTGTTTCTTGTGGGTACTTTCCAGGCAGCCCGGAAAGAAGGGAATCCAGTTCCACTCTCTCTCTCTCTGTGATTTTTAAAGATTCAATGCTTTTTTATTTTTATCTTTAAAACTCAAATTAGTAATAGAAATGGAGGCCAGTTGATGTTTAAAAACTCCTTTTTTGTTTCTTTTTCTTTTTCTTTTCAGGCGTAGGAGCACTGTCCGGGTAGTCCGAATCCTAGGCCCAGGATTGTAACTCCGGGTTTCTCCCAGGCTAGCCCAATTTGACTCTCTTGCCATCTATGCTACAGGAGAGCAATTTTGGCAATATGTTCTGTGCTATCTAATGATTATGTTACCATATATAAGTGCTAAAATTCTTGTATTTGGACAGGGTCAAGCCTTCCAAAAACTCTATAATTGGTGTCACAACAAACCACATAAAAAAACTAATATGTCAATGTTATAGTTATAATATTACATGATATTATCAACTTATAACATAATGTGTTCTTATATAATTGACTCTTTTCCCTTATGAGTTCACTTGTGAGACTATATGCACCCATTCATTTAATAACACGTAATACTCATTTAATGACATCTCATGATTGTAAGGTTGCAATCTTACATGGCATTATAACTATAAGATTTCTCTAATTATAATACCATATACAATTATAAGTTTATAAGTATGACATGACATTAAATAAATACATACAATATCATGAATGTGTTCTTAAACAAAAGAAGTCAATTATAAAATAACATGTTATGATTGTAAACTAACAATACCATGTGGCTAGAGATAGCAACAAGGCTTGTAAAAATAGAGATCCCTACATAGATTTTTGAGGAGGGCAAAACTTAACCCCTGCCCTACAAGATACTCTCCCTTCATAGGAGCCTTAAAATCTATCTCCATTCTTTCTATCCCTACACCTTGTTATGTCTCCACAAACCTTAAGTGTCTTGGTGCAAATTCATAATTTTAGGGGCAAAGTGTACATTGATCTTGAACCACAAGGGGCAAGAACAATTTTTGCGTTTTTTTAAAAAAATTAATTTTATATGATAAATTATCCATCTATGTTCCACCTATCTCTTGCCAATTTTGGCTTTAGAAATAATCATCCCATTCAGCCAAACTTATTCATTAGCAGGCCCTCATCAGTTCATACAATGCACCTAGTTACTTAACATCTTACAATTCCTTTTCAGTCATCCAATAGACTCCATCTCCATGCCCCTTTTTTTTTCTTGTCTGAGCTATATTACCGAGTTCTATCCATTATTCAAATTATCCAATCCAATGTTTATAGAGATGATCTCTTGGGGAAGAAGAAAAAAAATGTGGGGAAAGAGGAAGACGAAATGGTGTAACTTTTTATATTTGGGACAGAAAATCTGGTGAAGAAAGAAGAAAGGTTCAAAATTGAATCACTTCCCAAAATTATTATTTTTGTCCAATAGGATTAAAATTTGCCACCCAAACTGTTAAAGTTTCATAATGGCATTTCTTTAAGTACTTACCAAATATGCCTAAGAAATAACCATAAATAGAAACAGTGAAGGATTGGACCTGGCATCCAAAATTAGTAACATTTCTCCACACCTCTCCACTCTCCACCGCCTTAAACTTGCCCCCCAATTTTCTTCCCCCCTATAAATTTACTCCCTTAGTGACTCTCTTATTCATTTCTAAAACAAAAATTAAATCTTGGTTTGGGGAAAAAAATCATGGGGCGGAGGAAGATTGAAATGAAAATGGTGAAAGACAGCAGCTCCAGGCAGGTCACCTTCTCCAAGCGCCGTACCGGACTTTTCAAGAAGGCCAACGAGCTAGCCACCCTCTGCGCCGCTCAGGTGGCCATTGTGGTTTTCTCCCCCGGTGGGAAACCCTTCTCGTTTGGCCACCCCAGCGTGGAAGAGGTGGCGGATCGGTTTCTAAATCAGGATGCTCCTCCCAAACACTCTATTCCTAGCCATCCCGAGCCGCCGCCGCAGCCCCAGGATGACAGTAACGTCGACAACCTTAATCAGCAGCTGGCCGAGCTTCTCAAGCAGCTGGAGATCGAGAAACAAAAGGCAGAAAAGCTAGAGAAGGAAATCAAAGCTGGCGGAGGCGAGAAATTCCAAAAACCTGTCAATGAACTTAGCCTGGACGAGCTTCTAGACATGAGGGAATCCATGGAATCGCTTCATGAGAAGCTTCAAAGTCGTGTTAACGAGATGGAGGCATCATCTTCTCTCCTACTTCTCTCCGAGAATCCTGTCCGGATGATTGTTAATTAATTAGTATGTGTGCAAAAAAATGGTCTAAAACTCTAAATGGTTATAGACCATTCTTTTTTAATATAAAAGGACATTTCTCATAAAATTATGGTTGCTTTGTTTTATAATTTAAAATATATCAAATTACAAAATAAAAATAGTTATATTAGAGTATAATTTTTAATATTAAAATATTTATTAATATATCAATAATCTAAATAATTTAGTATCGATATCTTTTTATTAAAAGTAAAAAATTATGAGTTCAAGTTATATGGTATACGGGTAAAATATAATAAGAGATAAAAAATTATTTTTTATTATGCAATCAACATAAAAAAAATATTCACTTACATTTAATAGTTTAAATTATACAATTTAATGTAATTTCGGTTGTAAAAATACCTTTTTGTTGCTGTATATATATTATCTAAATTAGAAAGGCCAAGAAAGGGAAATTTGTACACCATCTGTCTAATTATTCTATAAATTTTGAGCATAAACAAATATACGTGGTGTGATTTTATATCCAATTGACCCATTAGGCAATAATATGTGCTCTATTGCTTTCTGTTTTTCCTTTTTCATTTCATTTTCATTCAATTTCATTTGGTATTTAAAAATCAAATCTCACCCTGCTTTAGTTAGTAACCATGGATATATATTACTTGGCGATGCTTGAATTCCACACATGCAAAGGTCACGCGTGAGAGACACGAATAGATTCACAATCTAATGTTATGTTCCGTTTAATTCAAAATTGTTGTTTAAAATTAATATTTCCCTTTTGATTCTCTCTTCTTCTTCTTCTTCTTTTTATCATCCAAATTAAATTCAGTTGATCAAAGTCCTTACCCAATTCCAATGATCCTCTGTTCTGCTCTTTTATTCTTTTCTCTCCTTTTTTTTTTTTTATTGTATTCCTTTATTCTTTTCTTTTCCTTTTTTTTTTTTAAACAAGGGCAATGAAGAAAAATAAAGATAGGAAAGCTACTAGTGCAGCAGTTAAAACTTTGATATTTATCAAAAGTTTAGTACACTTGAACCAATGCAACCAAAGTTACGAGCGTTTTTATTCTTTTTATTTCATACATTTCAATTTAAATCTTTAA